CTCTCTTACCCAACAGCCATCTTAACAGTAGACTTTGAAATACTTTTAGTAAATAGAGATAAAGGCTGGACTCAATATATGTTTTACATGCCAGCTGTACTACTCATTATATAGTTAACTCCTCACATCTTTCCCCCAGAGAGACTTGTTGTTTCCTGAAACCTAACGTTTTATCTTTGCTTTGCAGAAGGAGCATTTTCTTTCCTGTTACTGGAGTGTAAATAGTCCTGTCCTGCAGCACCATGATGCCAGCCTGCCCTACCTTGACCAGTACCGGATAGATTGCCAGCAGTTCAGGGTTCTGTGCCATCTGCTGAGCCCCTGGTCACACTGTGCAAACAGAGACTCTCTGGCTCTGTGGACATTCCGACTGATGGATGAGAGTTCTAACTGCCTTATAAACTTCAAACAGTTTGCCTGTGTTCTTGGTATGGCAACAGAACACACATGAGCACATTCAGCAGGCTCCTGGGAGTAGTCCTGGGGTGTATCACCTTCCATACTCTGTACAAAAAGCTAAGGAGATTTAATCTCTTAACACAGGGTCAAATAATGTGATTTTTATTACAGGCAGAATAATTTCCTTTTGGAGATTAAATTTAAATATGGCTTGGCCGTCAATATATCCACAAATAAGAATGTCTGATCTCATTGCCCAGCCTGTTTGGTTTATGATAAATCTTCATACTAAGTCATCTTTTACACTGATTGTGCAGGATGACCAATGCCTTATTCCTCTGGGAAACTGAAAGTTTTCTTGTCTCACTGCACTGTTTCTTTCATCTTGTTTTCAAAGTGGTGTGTTCAGGAAACAAAAATTTAAGGGAAGTGCTGAGACGTTAGTACTTTATTTCTTTTAGTGCTGTGGTTTGTAAGTCATAGACATGATTAGTGTTCTTTCATCAGTGTAGGCTAACCCCAGGCTCAGCCACAGGTGATAGAGCTTTCTTTAAGCTTCATATCTTATTATACTTCCTTAAGCTAGGGCACATGTCCAGTTCCAACCTCTCTGGGTTGTATTTGTTTAAGTTAAGAGGGTGTTTTAAAGTTTGGTCCAGTTGAAAGTTGTCCTTTCCCCTAACAGATACGATGTATAACGGAAGCTTCACTGACAAACTCAAGTTTCTTTTTAAGTTGCACATCCCTCCAGGTAAGTGAGAAACAGTGTTACTTGGGGAGAGCTGTCTTTGGTTTTTGTCATTGTTATCACTGCTTTGGTAATGCCTGGGCACCATGAACCCACTTCATTTAATCATTTATTGCAGCTTTTACTGAAGTAGAATCTCTGAGCCCTTCCAAAGGGGATGATCTTTCAAAAGAAGAACTGATGCACTTCAGCCAACTCAATGGTAAGCTCCAGAGTGTGAGGTTTTGCCTGCAGAATACTAGAAAGAATCCCGTAATTATCCTGTGAAAAATGAGGAGCTTTCTTCTGAAAACAAGTAAATCCAATAAATCATATCCCTGTTAACAGAATCCCTTGTGAAGATCTGTAGATAGTTACAATTTAATAAACTTGCACAGAATTTGTGGATAGCTCATCTGATGGTGGAGTTCAAAGGCCCGTGGATGTTTACATGGAAATAGGGGAGTGTGTTGGGTTGGCATTTGTCAGCATTGTGTGCAGCTTGTTGCAGTGTTCAAGTTATGGCTGTTTAATTTTTGCATCCTGGGCATAAAGGAATGATATTTTCTGCCTCAAGAATTAAAATACCAAATCCATACTTACTTTGAGGCACATAAGCATTTCAAAATTCTTTGCTTTCATTTTAGACCAAGTGAGCTGAAAAAGGTTTAGTAAATATATGGAGTTGATGAAGTAATCTGTTTCAAATACTCTTGAAAGAGTGGGATTTTTATAGAGAAGACAGATCCCTTTTTGGTTTTAATATCTGCCTAAAGTAGACAATATATAGGTGCTGTTCCTGCTGCTCTTCAAGTCGTGCACTGTGAACATTATAAAGATTATTTAACTGATAGCAGTTTCATTGGTGATCTTCTGCCTCACAGTGGCTTTTATTTTCATAGAAAGTATGCAGATGGCATGTGGTTTCTTCTTGACCTAATCTGTGCTGAGAACCTTGAGGGTCTTGTGCCTTAAGGAAGGAATTTTTGATAAGGGAAATGAAACATTGGTCCTTTTTTTTTTTTTTTTCTTTTTCTAAATTGTAGTTTCATCTGTTGGGGATAATCTTGAAAGTGGTTCTTTGAAGAGCAGCCCAGAAAAAGGTAAAAGAATCCCGGTGGCACATTTGGTAACTGTGTCTTTTGGGGGAGTAGAGCTGGGAAAGTGTGTGGTGACAGATATATTAAGTAACATCAACCTTAGCGTGCTGCTAACATTCTGTCCTCTTATGTAAGTGTAGTCATGGGAGCAAAAGGGCAAAAGTAAATTCTGGTTCTCTGTAAACCCTTGGCCACACCACTCTGTGAGAAGGAATGACATTGAAGGTGCCAGTTCTTTTGCTTATCGTCCCTCATAGGAAGGTCTCAGTTCTTGTTTGTTCACTTTTTTTTTTTTTTGCACTTCTCCTTCAAAAAGGGAAGGGGAGGGTTGACATTCAGGCATATCTGAAGCAATGGCAGGACGAACTTCTTAAAAAAGAAGAAAATGTCAAGGATTTGCCAAGAATGAATCAGGTAAACTGTTTGAGTCTTATTTAAGTCTATTTTAGTACCCTTTAAGTCCTGTTACAATATTTCTGAAGGATTTGTAGGATACATTTAATTTCAAATCTTCACATCAGTCATTAGACTGTGGCTTTTTAAAACTGCTGTAGTGTATCAAGAGAGAGACTTTGAGACACACATCGGTTTCTCAGGGCTGGTCCGTGCTGTCGTTGGAGCAGCAGCAGGCACCGGACTGAGAATACAACAGGCACTGAAACACAACAGTTGTGTTGCTCTTCTCTGAGCAGTCTCCTCTCTATCTCTCTGTAGTCTCAGTTCATCCAGTTCTCAAAAACTCTCTACAATCTGTTCCATGGAGATCCTGAGGAGGAGCTCTTGTATCGGGCCATCGCGGTGGTCACCAGCCTCCTGCTGAAAATGGAAGAAGTTGGCAGAAGACTGCAGAGTCCCATGTCACCTGTCAGAAGTCCAGTTGCTGTTGCAGAAGTGGCTGCTGAAGTGCCCAGAGAGAGGCAGGAGGAAAGCAGCTCTGAGCAGACTGAAGGCAGTAGAGCACAGAGTTTGGAAGGGAACCATGAATGGTCTTTTGCCTTTGAACAGATTCTGGCATCCTTATTAAATGAGCCAGTCTTTGTGAGATTTTTTGAAAAACCTCATGACATAAAAGCTAAAATAGACAGTGCTAAAAATTTACAACTTAAAGCAAGAGCCAGGGTGTAATTTTCTTTACATTTGACTCTGAATTAATCACATAAAGTGCTTACAAATGAAGGCTGTAACTATGGAAATCAAGTCTGGTGTTGATAAAGGAAATGAAGTTTGAAGAATTAGCTTCAAGTATCAGATTACTGGTATGTAATGTAAATAAAAATAGTTTGAAGCACAGTCACTTTCTTGCATTGTTCATAAGTTTCACTCCAAAATAGGGACTGAATAATGAACTGCCTTTACTGTGTTATTAAAACATGCAGCATTGCTTGGAGATATTGGATGTGTACCTGTTGCAAACCTGTCTGAATCACTGTTAGAGTAGGTGTTCTCCAGGTTCTTTTCTATTACTGTGATATAAGGAATTACTTTTTCCCATTTTCACTTCAAAGGAGTGTCAACAGCTTAGAGGTGGTCTTCCACATTAATTAGTTTTTTTCCAATTTGCTTGTGGACTGGGGCCAAAGCAGGGTGAAGACTAAGAACAGAGGCTGTGGTAGCATGACAGGACCATGAGATTAGAAAAGGAAGTTGCCCTGCTCACAATTCCTCTGCTTTGATGTTACCCAAGGGTCTGGACTCCAGTAGATTCCAGCCCCTCTTTCCCGTTTTCATACCAATCCTCCTACAAAGAAAAGGTGAAAAGGATGGAGGCTTATTTGGTCATCCAGGCTGCACAAGGATGCAGAAACTAATACTGATTATTTAAAATCAAGGGAAAGTGGTGGCTAAATCTGTCTGACCACATGGTGGTTGTAGTTTATCTGGCAAAAGGAGACATTGTTGGCTTCTTAGGAGCATGTTGATGAAATGTGGAGTTTTGCTGGTGTTTGGAAAGCCCAAGCACAGGCCATCTGTAGCTGAGTGTTGACTATTGAGCTGCTTCGAGACAGATTGCAGTTGCTTCTTTGCCTACCCCGAGTCTGTGTCTCAACCCAGTAATTACTATTGCTTTTCTATAGCACTCTGGATTGTTGCTGCTGGAATATTTTCTATTTGTCAGGATTCAAGGCAACAAGAAAATCCCCTTGAATCTGACTTGAAATTTTTAATATGTAAAATATGATATAGTAGAGATCCTGTGGAGGAAAGCTCTACCAGTGTAAATGCTGAGAAATGCTGACCTTGAATCTTTGGTAGCTGATGCTAGAAGAAATTTAGAGAAGGAGGGTAAGAACTTGTATTTTAACAACAATATCAAAGTATGTGGGGAGTCTTGCTAAACTAGTTTAAAACGTTTGTTTCCAAAGCCTGTATGACAATCTTTCTCTGCAGAGCAGCATTATTTTTATACTGTGCATGTATTTTTAAAGAAGCAGAATGGGGATGGTATCTTTCGGAGGCTTTTTGTGCAATACTAGTGTGAATGAAGAATAAAACAAATTTCTGACTTGTGTTACAGGCACTTTGTGAAATGCCATCATTGCAGTTGGTGTTAAATTATGAATTATGTCTTACACTCTCCTCAATACTCTCAGGTATTAATGTAAAATAAAGTTTTACTGAAGAAGTCCAAAAGCTGTATCATATATGTGGAGAATGAGGAAGCTTTTTTCAGAATCCTTCACAAAGTAATTGCAATTGATACAATATACTGCTGATTTGTATTTTTATGTATGAAATATAAAACCTAATTTATCCATTTATGTGGATATGGATAGGGCCACACTGTATTACTTTTTAAAAATGTTTTCACAAAGTTGTTCAGAAATACAAAGCAGATAATGTTTTCCTAGTCCAGGATGTACCCAGATAAGGTTTAATCAGTGAGTAATTCTGCAAATAGCCACGATTAAACTAATGCAGCCTCATAAGAATAGATACAGCTGCCCATACCAAAAGCTTTTGTTGGTTTATGAGAGATACTGTTTATGTCAACAAGTAGCCAAAGCTGTGAACTATTTGCTAATGAAAGTAACAGAGATATGAAAGTCTTAAAACTCAAGGACTTTTTTGACTGAGAGCCAAGATGTGAAGATCTAAGTGCAGAAGAAGGTGAAGGAACTTGCAAAGTACAACAACCTTCTGTTGTTACCTGGTTGTAAAAAGGTGCTCAGTTTGTACAATGCCCTTTTCTTTTAGTGCCCACCCAAGAGACTGTAGAGCCTTTGCCAGCTGGGTAGTAGCTCTTGTCAGATGTCATATCCATGTATGAAGAGCATATATATCAAAATAGATTTAAGGCTATGATGTAAGGGGGAACACTAACTTTTATTAACTGCATGGATTTATTTATTAAATTTATTTATATTTTTTCCCAAAAGGGGTGGTGCCTTTAAATTGTTCCTGTAATACACCTGCAGGCTGATCCAGGAAAACTAGTCACAGTGACCAGGCATCCAGTCTCAGCAGGATGGAGGGTGGAGTGAGGTCACTTCCAGTAGGCTGGCAGCACTCAGGCAATGGCCCAGCTGGCAGGTTCTTCCTTTTGGAACCTCTGGATCACGAGCTGATTGTCTGGGGAGAGGTAGATGTAGCAAGTGCCAGTGATTTCCAAGGAGTGTAACCCAGAGGTGTTTGCTGAGCTAGTACCTCAGTGTACCATAGGCTGAGCTCTGCTTGTGCCAGAGGAACTCTGGAGTTAGTGTCTAGCTTCTTACCTTCCCTTTCTTATTCCAGCTCCTTGCATCCCTATTCCAGACAGGCTGGCTAACAGATAGATGCAGGTTTAGCTGGGGCTGGTGGAGTTAAAGCAACAGCAGATGATTGCCTTCCTTCATTCCTGGAGAACAATGCCTTGACTTCAAAGCCCTGCAGAGTCAAGGACAGAGATCTCTGTGCTGTGCTGCTTCTTGGCCAGGTGAAGTTGGTGACACAGAGATGGCCCCAGACTCCAGTCACATCACCTGAGGGTGCTGGGTGTGCACATGAACAGGAAGCAGCTTGGTTAAGTGAGTTGTTGTGTCATTTCACTCGCCTGTGTTATGTTTTTTCTGTAAGTCTCCATGAAGTTTTCTGCCTTTATTTTCAGGTTCAGTCATAGGAGATAAATGAAGGTGCATCATTCAGTACAAAATAGACACCTGTAGATTGCTACAACCACTGATGCTGTTTGTCCAGCTTGACAATTGCAGTGCCTGCTGCAGTGTGACTGGGCAGCTGTGTCATGGTCCCCCTGCCACACTGGCAGTGCCTGTGGGGGACAGTGCACGGTCCCTCCTTGTGCTGGGCCGTTGTTGCTGTGTGCTTAGATGCCTTTTGTCAGAGCTAACCAGTAGCCTGGGGACACAGCCAGCAGAGCTGTGATGTTCCCGGTCTTGCCATATGGAATGTGCTGCTCTGGAGCCTGACTGCTCCCTGTGCTCTGGGTGACCAGTGACAGCCCTGACCCCCACTTGGAACTGCCTGCTTGGCCTCTGTGTGCCCAGCTCGGGGCTTGGGCATGTGAGGGGAGGGAACAGATCACATAAGAAAAATACCAGCTCTTTCCACCATGGGGGACAACTGATGATAATTAAACCGGTAGCATTTTCCAGGACATGGAAGTGGCTGCTGCCATGTGATACAGAAAAATCACTTTCTGTTTCCATCAATTTCTAAAACAAGCCACTTGTTCATCACTCTAATGGCTAAATAATAATGTAATTTTAAAAGAGTTTGCTACTGTAGTGACTAAGAAATAGCTGTGTGTTGATTTTATCAGAAGTTTCTCATCCAATTGTACCATACAAGGTTCTTGATTGTGATTGCTGTTGTTATCTGGACTAAAACAGAAGGAAATACTCTGACTTGTTTCCAGAAAAATAGGCTATTTTGTCTTTTTTGCTAGTGCTTTGTCACTTTACCAAGACGGCAGCACATTTGTGTTGACAGATTGGCTTTTATACAATGTGTTGTATGCAGAGGTACTGTAAGACAAATGGGGTGTTAAATAAAATATTGTTTCCCTTAAGTAAAAAACCCCTGTGTTTGAGGCATTATTTCCTGTGATGGCCTGCTGTGGAAGTTCCTTCAAGAGTGTTTGTCATGTTAAAGCCACATTTAGTCAGTGCTTTGCAAAACAAGGAGCAAGCCAAAGCTCCTTTCCTCCCAGAAGAGGAGGAAAGCTCGGGGTTTTGAAGCCTGAGTACAGCTTTGTCCATCCAAATACAAACACAGTGTGCAGACCCTGATGCCTTGTTCTTTCTAATTTATGTGTTGCTCCTCTTGCCTCTGGCACTGGTCACAGAAATCCCAGTTCTTGTCCTGAGCCCCGTCCCCTCAGCTGTCCATGTGCATGGACACAGTGGCTGCTGCTCTTGCCTCTCCTGCACAGTAGGGATCAGATCCCTAACAGACCCACCCCACCCAGGGAATAACAAGAGTACATAGTGTGTAAGAGGTCCTACAAGTATTATTTTATTTCTTCTTAATTTTTTTTAAATACTATGTACAATCTGTTTAAAGCTTGTCAAAATGCATGGGCTCCCATTCAATGGAGCTCTGCAGGGACATAGATTCAAAACAAGAATAAAATCTTTACTGTTCATCTTCATAAGACACTTACTTTTTCCCATTACAAAATACTTTTAAGAATAGTAACATTTATAAATGTATTTATATTCAACATCATATAAAATAAACCAAGATTTATACTCAATTCTAGAGTTTTTCTTATTTTCTTTTTTTTTTCCTTGCGTGGACTATATACAATATATACAGTAACTTCTCATTGTGTTTGTCAAATCAGCCTGATTATACCCACCAGGCTTTAGCTTATATGTACAAATATGCTAAAAGTGCAAGACTTTATTATTTAAAGCTGCCTGTGTTTTCAGAGGTCTGGAATTGTGTGGCCTATATATATTTATATAGAGATATACATCTGCATACATATAAATGTATATTAAAAATACGTATATCTATATATAGTTATGGTATATAGGTACTTGTGTACTAGAAAACCTCAGAACATTTATGACTGATAGGTCAACACCGACACTGGAGGCCAACCCTGCTGCCATCAGTCACATCCCTGCCCTCTGCTCGTCACCAACAACTCACACTTACGTTTTCTTGTAGAAGGCTGGGGGAGTGAACCAAACCCACCAGCAACCCTCAATTCCAAATGAGTCATAAAAGCACAGGTCATAGCTAACACCGAGGTAAACAAATACAAATCAACCTGAATAAAGAGATTTTTTTTATCCATCTGGTTTTTTGAGAGTGACAATATAAGGCAAAACCCCCCTGGCCCTGACTCGGCCTTGCCCTTGGCTGCAGGCAGACTGAGCAAAGACCCAGCAAGCCCCGAAAGGGTCGGTGGGATTTTGTCCTTTGGAACATGTTGAGAAAACAAGGCCCTGCCCGTGAGGCAGTGCCTGGGACGAGCAGCCCCCACCCACCAGCAGCGAGGCCAGCGGCTGGGGGGGCTCTGCGAATAAGGGGGCACATGATAAAGTGCGTTTTTAGGTCTGGTTTTAGCAAGGCTGGTCTAACATGTAAACATCCTCACCAAGCTCCTGTGCTCCTCACTGGGAGCTGTGAGCAGGGGCTGTGCCCCCAGCCCTCTGTCCCTGCAGCCCAGCTGCCATCAGCAGGGCTGTGCCCAGAGCTGGGCCCTGTCTGGTGCACCTACTGCCCCCCACCTCCCCCAGAATCCCTTCCCAAGTCTATTTTGTTTTTTTTTGACTCACTGTCAAAGCCACAGCAATGCCAGAAAACTGCTCTGCCTCAGCTCTGTCCCTACCAAGCCCTGTTAAAAAATACACCCCTCAAGGCCCTGACCCCAGCCATTTGATTGCCACCTGCCATGGCTGGGTGTGGTGGTGGGGCACTGCAGACCAGCCTTGGGGATGTGTTGGGGTGATGCAGGTTTAATGGGGAAGCCAGGGAAATCACAGCCTTTCCCTCCAGCCAGCCACCCTGAGCCACAAACTGTGCAATGCTGGAGCCCTAACACAGATATATGTTTGCCTCCCCTCTAATGGTATGTGCCAAGGCTATGGTGGGAAAAAATCCCACAAACAACTCCCAAAAATACAACCCCCTCCTACCTCATCCTCATGAGCAACCCGGCTGCCTTAGAATGGGGAAAAGGAGACCCTGAAACTAATAGTGCTTTAAAAACAAGTGTTCCTATCCTGAAGGCTCTGTGCTGGCCCTTCCTGCAGAACAAACCTGCAGAGCAGCAAAGCCCCAGGTGTTAATATTTCAGCCCCAGATTGCCCCACAGAGGCAGGTGTTCCAAATGCCACTACCAGCAGTGAGGCGGCCCCCATGGCTCTGCTGTAGCCACCATTTCTCATCCTGGTTTGAAATGGAGGGGCTGGCTCAGACTGTGTCCAAGAGCAGCTGCGTGGCTGCCCAGCACCCAGGGGCTGCATGTGCTGGGTGGGCAGGGGCCCAGCCAGGGACTGTGCTGACAAGGCACGAGCCCCAACAATGAACCCCAGGCTCTTGGGCATCTCATTGCCTCCATTCTGTGGCCAGCTGCATGCCCCAGAACGCTGCACGTGAGCAGCTCTGCAGCCCAGGATCCATCGTGTCTGGTAGCCCTGGGAGCTGTGCATTCAGTGTCCCAGTCAAAGGCAACCCCTGCACCTGCTTCTGCCCAAGGGAGGTGACCCATGAACAGCCAGGGGTTGGCACAGCTTTGTTCACAAGTCCACCTCTGCCCTGGCCAAAACACCGAAGCACCCTAGGGCATTGCACCAGTCTCTGAAAGCTCCTGGCTGGCCCCAGCTCCAGCAGCCTTTCCTCCCACTGCCACTCCGCAGGCAATGTGGCACAGCAAAACCCCATCCCCGTGCCCAGGACAAGCTGCTGGGAACAGCCCCTGGTGCTGTGCCCTTTTCTTGAAACACAGGGCTGCTGGCAGCTGCTCGTGCCACAAGCTGCTCCACCAGCAACACCAGGAACACCAGCTGCTGCAGCGCTGCAAGGCGCCCAGGAAGGGGCTTGCAGAAGGAAAAGAAGGAAACAAAAAAAACCCCAAATCATCATATTAAAAAAAAAAAAAAAAAGGCAAAACCAAGCATTCTTTACTAGGTTTCAACAGACATTAGGAACTAAACATTAGGAACTAACTCCTCTCTAAACCTTGCTCTATCTGCCAGTTAGATCTTTACTGCTAGATGGACCTGGTCCTAACTACCCACTGCCTTCACTGTCTTGCAAAGTTTATAGTAATGGCCAAACCCATCTACATTTGGGCTCTAACAATGCCCAAAGTTAGTACTCAGCTACTAACACTCCAAAAATGTACTTTTAAATTTTTCCTTTGGAAAGACACAAACAGTAGGGACACTTAACTATACACCCACTGAGGAATAAACTGGCTTTTCAATTCATAAATATAAACTTACAGTTAAAAAGTGACAATTTACAAAAATACAATTTATTGCTGACCCTATGGGCTTGTAACATTGTGGTGTTGTGATTATACATTTTGGGTTTGCCAAATTGAAACATGACCTAGCAAAACCACAAAGTTTGCTGTCATATGCTGTTCTATGCATGTTTGTTTGTTTTTATGAATAGAAACATTTACAACTACATCACTTGAAACAAAAAAAAAAAAAAGGAGTAAAGATTCTTTGTCTGTAACCTGAAAAATATTTGGCTACAGGGAATAAAAACCATACAAATTTATCTTCACTGTTAACCAAAAATAAAACATGACAAATATTGAACTAGCTGCGATGTGAGCTGGTATAACAACAGTAAGAAATTCAGGCAAAAGTGGTGTTATGTAAATTAGCAGCATTATCCAAACTCCTGGAAAAAAAACCTGCGGGACTGAGGTATAGAAAAAGGAAAAAGAATTCACAATGGACCTACTACAGCAAAACGAGTTATGTACATGGTAATCCAATGGTGTCCTGTGGACTGGTACAGTCTATGTGCTCCAAATGCTGGGCTTAAATTCACAGTGACTTTCAGCATTGAAGTCCTGAATGGAAAAAGGATTTTTTCCATTGCAAACCGAGCTTCGTGACGGCCTGATACTCCCCTCCCTGCAGCAAGACAGCCACCGCTTCCAGGGGCACCACGGCGCTGGGCCAGGGCACACCCTGCTGCCAGAGCAGCATCAGGGGCTGGCTGCACGGAAATGCCAACAAACGAGGCCCCTGCAGCCATGCAGCCCTGTCGGACCACCAATCCCTCCAGGCACCACGTCCCCACGGAGCCCGACCTCTCCCGTACCGTGCTCTGCCGGCGCCGTGCTCTCCCGCGCGCCGCGGCCGCAGCCGTGTGCTCCTCGTCTCCCAGAAGCCACTTTCAGGGCAGCTGCATCTCGGGCAGGTCAGGCAGGTTGCAGGGCTGGCCCTGCGTGTGGTGGCTCTGCTGCTGCGGGTGGAGGAAGTAGCTCAGGGGGTTCTGCTGCGGGGTGTGGGGCGGCTGGAAAATGCGCGGCGTCGGAGCCCCGGGCACCAGCTCAGGACCTTGCATCTGTGGGGAGACACAAATGTGAGCAGTCAGACCTGCCCCTTCAGCCAGCTGTCCCTCTCGTGCTGCAGGGCTGATGCTGAGACTCATTCCCTGGACTGTGCGCACCAAGTCCTAAACTGGATGCTGCTGCTGTCAGCAAAACCAGCAATGACTGGAGAGCACAGGGGGAAAGCAGGACCCATCTGTCCTAACAGGCTCTGGGGAGCTCAGCAGGAATGGAGACCTCCAAAAGCTACTTGGAGGTACAATCTGCAGGATGTGCAACTTTAATCTTTCACAGGAAAGATCTTCAGACAACCAAGGAAGAGGTCTTAGAGTAACCATGTACCCACCCATGCTGGTACTTCAAAGACCTGGACTTGCTGTTCCCCGCCCCCACCCCGTTAAAGGCACTGTGTCATCAAACTCTGGTTTACTGTGGCTCTTTATCTGTTCCAGCATCATGATTCTGCTGTCCACACTGCTGGTGCTCAGGACAGCAATGCAGCCCATGAGGACCCAAAGCAGGGACAGCTCCTGCCCAGACTTGCTGATAACAGCGATTCATTTCTCACTTTAAATCCAGTCCTGCTGTGTGGCTGCTTTCAGCCCAGCCTACTCCTCTTGCTTTCTTTTCTGTCTTTGCCTGGAGGACTGTAACTTAACCTCTGCCATCCAGGCAAGGCTTTGAGAGCATGTTACTGATGAATTATTAGTTTCAACAACCCCTTTCCTTGGTGGTGTCACTAGTTTAGCATTTACTGATGTAAACTGTGTGCTAAAAAACAAAAATCACCTCGTCCAGAGATGTGTGTTGTGAAATATCCTTTTTAAAAAAGAAAGCTGTGATGGCAGCTGATAAAAACCTTGCTCTGATGAGATGTAACAGCAGGAGGTATGTTTTCCAAAGATCTTCTCTCATCATTTTTCATTACTACAGCAAACTTTCCACCAGAGCTCCTCTGGATGAAAAGCTGTGTTTGAAAAACTGGGTATTTCTTCTGTGCACTGTGTGATAACAGAGTTTGTTGGAAAATATGGCCTTGAGCAGGTGCAGAGTCAGCCTGGAAAGGCTGAGCACCTGGCTGTGTGGAGATACAATGGGAGCAGAGGATGTGCAAAGGCCCTGACCAGGTTTGATCAGCCAGATAATCCCCATTTCTTCCAAAAACCCCAACCCATCCCTTAGCCATCCCCTCAGAAAGCTGCTTCTGCTGCAATACCTGAAGGTAGAGGCGGTGCTGCTGAACCTGCTGCTGTGGCCACTGGTGCAGATGAACGGGTGTGCTGGCCTGCTGGGAGGTGAAGCTGCCGTGCGGGATCACCAGAGGCGGGGAGAAGATGGGCGGCGGGGCCGGAGCCCGGGCGCTGCTGCAGGTGGCCGGCTGCCCCTGCGCCGGGGGAGGCAGGGTCTGCTGCTCCGCAACAAACCTGCCACAAGGAGGAAAGCCAGGCGTGAGAAGCCACACCCAGAGCACCCTCAGAACGGGCACCGGGCAGCCCAGCTGCTGCAGCAGCCAGCCTGGAGCAGGGCTGGTCAAGCCTTGCTGACAGGATTCCCCTGAGTCCCCTCTGCCCACCAAGCACAGGCTGGAACTACTGAAAATTAAGGTTTTTAAGGTTGTACATTTTCTCCATGTCTTGGCCAAGCACTTTATGCTTTGCAAAAGCCAGGAAATGGTTACTTTTTCTTTCAATGCACTTTATTTATCAAAAAGTTCTTTGTAATTAAAAAATATTCTCATCTTTCTCCTAACTGCCTAAACTTTTGTTTCACTTCAGACTGAGACTGTGTTTGTGTGACCGGGTACAAGTTTTTTCATGTCTTTTTCAGTGCCATGAAGTGTCCTGCTAAGACACTGCAGGAAGATAAGGGCCAGCAGAGACTCACTTTCCTGGCTGCCTGCTGGCACTGCTCTGCACGGGCTGGCAACTGCTGTTGGCTGCGGGCATCATGGCTTGGATGGACTGATCCAACAGCATCCTGTGGTGGAAGGAAAACAGAGGATGGTCAGGGAAGGGAGAGGTCCAGGGTCCAAGGTCCTGTCAGTCTCTAGAAACAACTCCTTGAAAATCCTCCATGAAAGCAGGCAAACTTTGAAAAAAACCTTGAAACCTTGAAAACAAGCTCATGAAATAGGATGCTTCTTATCACCTCACACCCCTCCTGTGAATACATGCTGAGAAGATTAGGATTGTTGACACTGGAGAAGAGAAGGCTCCAGGGACACCTTATAGCATTTTCCAGTATCTAAAGGGGCTAAAAGAGAGCAGGAGAGGGACTTTTGACAAGGGCACGGAGCGACAGGACTAGGGGGACTGACTTTAAACTGACAGAGGGCAGGGTTAGATTAATTTATGGAAATATGGTGAGAAGAGGATTTGAGGCCCCTGATGGTACAGCAGGATGTGCCCAGCACCCTGCCTGCCTGCACATGGGCTCACCCCACAGAGGGAACAGTGGCACGTGTTCCATCCTCACGTGTTCCATCCTCACGTGTTCCATCCTCACGCTGGCTGTGGCAGCCCGAGCCCACCACCCCGAGCCCAGCCATGCCTGCCCCCTGCCCAAGCACTGCTGTTTTCTGTCACTGCCCCAGGCTGGCCCCAGCAGGGCTGTGGGTACCTGAGGCTCCTGTCCTGGCTGTAGTCAGCTGCAGGCTGCCTCTCGCTGCTGTCAGTCGGCGCGGCTGCGGCCACGGCGATGGGCTGTGCCTGGGAGAGCACCATGGGGCTGTTGTAGAAGGGCACTGGGATGCTCGCCTGCCCTGGCACACACGTTTGCTGCCCTTGGCTTCCTCTCATTGGGTGCTGCTGCTTCTGCTGCTGTACCTGAAATGAAGACGTGGGTATCCACCTAAGTTTTAAAACTCCCTAATGGAGAGCTTTAAAGATGGGGAAAGGAGATGGGGATGGGCAGATGGGGAAAGGAGAAGGAAAAACAGGATATTGTCCATGAACACAGCAGTAGGTACAGTATATCTGTTCAAGACCACCAACCCATTAGCATTTATTGGCCCTGCAGGGCAGGTGCTGGCATCCCCAGACAGTATTTTGAGAAATTAGAGTACAAGGGTAAGGGCACAAAAGGCTTGAGGAGGAAGAGAACAGCTTAAGAGGGGAAGTGCAAATCTGAAGTCTCCAAGGAAAGCATCTCATCTGTCCTTTAAAGGAGCAGTTTTGGATTTTTTATTTTTGAACAACTCAAGTCTTTCCCATATTAATAGTGGATTTAGGTCTAGTGGTGACAAAATTGTTTTTTCAAAGCTGCCAAGACTCCTCAGGCAGAGCAAAAGTAATCTTTTAAAATGATATCTACTCCTGTGTTATGAAACCACAACTCTCACTGGCTATGAATAATGAGCAATAACTGTGTTGATGAGAGCCCAGACCTCCCATTCACATCCTCCCCAGGCACCAGGAGAGCTCCAGCAGTCTCTGGGGGGTAAATGCTTTTTGGCTACCCGTTTTTTACTTTTACAGTTGAGTGACATCGTTCACAACTGACTCCTGACACAAATTCCTCAACGCCAGCTATGCAGTAAAACCAACACCGAGGGGACGCACGGGACGGCGGGGAGGAGTGACACGGCAGACGAGCATTTAGCAGCTGGAAAAGCGGACGACGAGGACAAGGAAGCAGCCAGTGACCTGGGGGGCTGTGCCACAGGGGTCCCTGAGGAATGGGTGCGGTGACAGCAGGTGGGTGCTGCAGTAGTGCTTTGTCCCCGCCAGGGCTGGCTGCGGTGACTTCTTGGCTGCGGAGTGCCTGGGCGCGCCCGGCGGCCGCCGGGGGCTGGGCTGCTGCACGCTGTTCACGATGACCGGGATCGGCTGCTGCATCAGCATCTTTGGGTGAAAGAGGCACAGGAGCTGTTGGTTGGACTGCCTGGCAGAAATAACACTGCAGCAGTATCTCTGAATCCAGGGGCAAAATGAACCATGAGTAACAGAAAATCAAATGTTAGCCTGTGTCAAATATTTATTCAGAGCCAGGAAGGTTCCAGCTCCATTGTGCCTGCTGTGCTTTGCAGGAGTGGCAGTAGGGATCCAGCAGCACTAACCAGACATGGAACCACCAAGCTCTTTTGTGCACGGGAGACTTTGAATTAATTTGGGATTGCTTTATTTAAAGCACGGAAATCACCGATTCAATACTCAGCCAGATATTGACATCACTCATCTCTCGGGAAACACCACTCCCACAGCTGAAACCAAGTTACCAGTTTGGCAAGAGTTCATTCCCAAATGCTTCTGCCACAGACAATTTTATTACTGCTCTGTGTGCTCAAAGGAAAAGCATATGGCTGGTGAGTGTTGGGAGCACCCTGGTACTGTTGGTACCAGGGGCAGCAGGTACCTGCAGGTTGGAGTCCTGCACGAGCTGGAGCTGCTCCTTGATGACATGGAGCTCCTCTTGCTGTGTTTTGATGTCAGCTTGCAGGATGCGAGTCCTCTCCTCCAGCTGCTCCTTCAGCTGGTGCATCATCCCCAGCTGGGTGGGGAAATGGTACACTGGCTGCAGAGAACAGAGAAAAGGGACACACAGTGGGACCAGTCCTGCTATTCACATCCATAGCAATGCTGGATTCAGAAAAATGACTGCTTTTCAGCTTTTGCCGTAAAAAATATGATGCTGACAAAAAATAGCAATTGCATGTTTAACTAAAGTGCCACTGTAGTTCCAGAGCAGCAGCACATCTGGCTTATAGTGCCTCAGTCCAGGTGTTGGTCTCTACAATTTCTGCATAGATGAAATGTCTCTACATGGGACTCTCCTGTTCCCTCAGGATAACACCCTGCTGGTTTGGGCCCACTTGTGTTTTGTGACAGACACTGCATCCAAACCCTTGCCACACCTCCTGGCTGGGCTTTCAGTTGTGCTGCTAATGATATTTGGCAGATGCCAGGTCCAAGACAGGCTGCAATCCCACCTGGGATGCATCCTTACACACCTACACTGGCCATTTTCAATCTCTGTTTTATAATCTGAACATTTACTGCACTGATATCAAAGTCCTTTAAGGACAGACCTTGTCCTTATGATTTATGACTAATTTTTCTTGGGGTTTTTGGTCTCTTTTCTTTTCCTGGCCTAACTCAAACCTTTCAAGACATCCCCTTCCTCTACTAAAACTCTTCAGCATTGTATCAGCCTGTAGGTAGCTGCTAGAGGTTTAGGGAGAAGCCTTCAGCAGCCCACAACACTTTTTACAAGTGTAAACCTTCTCCTATGCTATTTCTTTGGGCGTCCCACCTGCTCTCTCTGCTCTCTGAAAAAAGTGGTTGCAAAAAGGTTGTTGCAGGTAAATCTCAGCAACAGAAAGGGCACAGAAACCTTGTCCCCACTCTGGGATGAGCCAGCAAGGACGTGAGGGCAGTGAACCAAAGCCACCTAGGCTGCCCTGCTGACAGGACACACCAGTGCACTTAACAAAAACAAACCACATACCATGACAGGGTGCTGGGAGGGCACTGCCAGCTGAGCCACGGGGTGCTGGGAGACAGGCTCACCATGGGCTTGAGGAGTGGCTATGGCCTAGAAATGAAAACTTTGCCTTACTGCAGGTCCATAGCACCTCTAGTGCAGAGCTGGTGCTTTAACAGCTCATACCAGGGATGAACAAGTGCAGGGAATTGGACAACTGAGACTGGAGATCTGAGGATAAGTCTGAAGGGAGAATTTATGTTCCTCTACGCCCCTGATAATTTCAAGTCCTTGGCATCAGCACCCATTTTGGATAAAGGCCACCTCACGTGTACAAACTCCAAGAAAAGAGGGTTGGTGGTGTGAGCCTGGAGGAGCAAATCCTGAAAGAAGGCAGCACAGGAGCCTCCAGCCTCTCTGCACTGGCTCTGCCAGCCAGTGGCACCCCCCAGGAATCCCCAGCACACTCAGAGAGCGGCATCCAGCATCTCTGAGGGTGAGATCAACGCTCGTATTGCCGTTTCTCCAGGCCCCAGAAGGGCTGCTGCTGGGGCAGCACTGACCTGCGCGCTCCCGGGCGCTGCCAGCCGCAGCGCCGCCTTGTCCCCCGGCACCGCCGGCCGGCTGGGCGTGCTGCTGTCCGTGCGCCGCATGGACGACGTGGCTGCGAAAGAGACACTCACTGTCACACAGCTGACCCCTGCCTGGGCGCCCTGGCTCAGCCTGAAATCCGCTGTGCAGATGGGCAGTGACCCAAGCAGCGCAAAGCGGGTGCGCAGTGCCCCTCTGCGGGCAGTTTGGCTCTCTGCCCCTCTGTGGTCCCTCTGCTCCCCACCTGCCTTGCTGGGCTCCCTCCTGATGCTCACCCCTATTCGGCCTGCCCCCCATGGGTGTATCCGGATGAGATCACTCCCCACGGCAAGAAAAGTCCCCTGAGTTTCCTCCCCATGACCCTACACAGAGCACTTCAGTCATCCTGCAGCCTCCCCAGGGGGAGGAGGGCACTGATGGGAGCTGGGATGAAGCTGCCAGCAAGGCAGGCATCCTTCTGCGCTCTTTCTGCAGGGACTTCACGTGAGAGACCCCATAATAAAATGATATTATCCCAACATAAAGCTTTGCTCAGTGAGCTTGGTTCAATCAAGCTGGCGAGTCACCTCTTGTCCCCAGAAGCACAGCAAACAGCCATGACCCCCAGCTGGTGACAGGCCCGGGGGAACCGGCTCTCACACAGGGGATGGGTTAAGAGGGAGAGGCGGCAGGTGGCCGTGCCTCTGTCGCTGCTCTGTGACTTGTCACGACCCCAGGGCTGAGCATTCCCCTCCCAGCCCGACTTGGTCACTCCCAGCCCAGCCCCGGTGTTTCGGGGCCGCTCTGCTCCCCAGCCCGGCACCCAGCGGCGCTGCCCGGCACCTACAGGTGGAGTCGGACAGGGTGGTGTGCGAGGAGCGCCGGGAGCTGTGCGAGGACAGTGACACTCCCTCCCGGCTGGCGTCCTGGCTGCTGCCGCACTGCCCCACGTCCAGGTAGCTGCTGTGGCTCTGCGGGAGCAAAGACAAGCGGTGACACCGTCAGCAGGAGGGGACGGCCCCGGGAGGGACCTCCGCCTCCTTGAGCCCTGCTCTGCAGACACAGGCAGCGCCTCGGTGTGCCCAGCACCCAGCCGGGCTCGCCCCAGAGCCCGCGGGCACACAGGAGCCTGCCCCGGCCTGGGCACCCACCTGGTGGCAGCCAGCAGCACAGGAGGACTGCTCCTCCCTGCGGAGTGCTGCCCATGGCCAGCTCTGCTGGGCCAACCTCCTCCCCTGCCCACAGAGCTGTGGGCAACAGGAAAGAAGCTTTTGTCAGCCTCTTTCTGCCTGATCTCTTCAGGGATGTCACAGCTGGCTGGCTCTGGTGCACTGGGGGGTGGTGGCAGGGGAATGAATGAAGGTTGCAGAAGGTCCTACCTGGGGAATAGTTTTATCCATCGAAGAGATGGAAAGAGATAACTGGGAAGGGACAGGGAGCAGTGGTAAGTGTTTTCCCTTGTGGTGGTGGCAGGGGAGGTTGCAGAAGGTCCTACCTGGGGAATAGCTTTATCCATCTAAGAGATGGAGAGAGATAACTGGGAAGGGACAGGGAACAGTGGTGTTTTCCCTTGCCTTCCCATCTTCATCTGAGTATCAGTGATGAGCTGGCACAAGCAAAACAGGTACCCTGTGGTACTGCCCTACTCCTGGATCCTCTGTGCCTAGCTAAGGGTCACAGGTACAGCAATCTGGCCTCCAGCTCCAGCTCTACTTCTCTGCTTCTGAGCTGAGGTGGTTTAACCTGTTGTTTGTGTCCAGGTTTTAACCTGTTGTTGCGTCCAAGATTACAGGGACCAGAACAGAGCAATGCAACTGCTGCATTCACAGCTATTGTGGAATCAGAGAACACTTGGTGTTACAGACCACCTAGCTCCAACCCCCCTGCCATGCCACTAGATCAGGCAGTTCAAAGCTCATCCAGCCTGTCCTAAACCAACATGGACAATTTGGAGCCATGCACCAGAAAGCTTCTCAGCCTGAATCATGACCCAGTTCAAGTCTTGGAATGAGATGAGAGTAAAGAAAATGGAGAAGAACAGATATTTCCCTCAGATTGGTAAGCTGTTACTCAGTTTGGTTTAAACATCTGCTCATTCACCTGTGAAGGAACATGGTACCTTTAGAGAAGAGGATGCCAGTTCAATTGATGACTCTTCGAGGCCAAGATCTCGTCTTCTCTCAGCCCGAACTTCTGCATAACTGAAAAAACCCAAAAATAAAAAACAAAACAAAACAAAACAAAACCCAAAAAACAAACCCCAAACAAAAAACCACCCAAACCCAACAAAATATTATTTTACAGCTTCTGTGCAGGTATCCTATCACAACTAGTGTACATTCATTTTCTAGCTTCGTGATGATGAACAAGCATCCTTTTTTTTTTTTTTTTTGCATGGTAGTTCAGTGATCCCTATGACAGTGCCTTGGGCAGGTGCCTCCTTCTGTGCATGCATCAGAGTTAACATCTTGCACTCCAGTGGAAGCTCCAAATACAAACAGGCAGCTGCACAAGTGCAGGAACCCCTAAAAGGTGCCTCTAGAATTGTATATTTTCTTTACTTACTTTTCCCCCTCTGAAATAATGAAATATTTACAGTAACAAATGCCCCATGATTCACCATTGGGATAAATTGGAGGGGATGTTTCAAAGACTCTCTGAGTGCTCATGCATCGTGGGCACTGAGAGCTGCCAGACTTTAGAGTGATGAAATATTAATGAGCTGCAACCTTTGTGGGAGGCAAGAGAAGTTGCTGAACCAACCTCACTTATATAATTGTGGTAATGAAATTTCCTGAAAGAACATTTTAACTCATGTGCTTCAGTAACATACTTTAAGCCTTAACTATCTGAGACAGAATTGAACTTCAAAATCTATTTAGGACTACATTGTTAGGTTTAAGAGGCACTGGAAGCAGAAAGAAGAAACAAGTTCATGCACAATAAATTCAGCCCTTAAAGTGAAGCTGAATTCCCTGAAGGATGGCAGAAGTAAGATAACTGAGAAGCAATCTCTCTGTGTAACATTTGCTTATGTTAACACTTCATATGTAGTTTATAACACAGATGACAGAATCAGAATCAACAGAATTTGGGTTGAAATGGACCTTAAAATTATCTGGTTCCAAGCCCTCTACTGTGGGCAGAACACCCACAACTAGACCAGGGTGTTCAGGGCCCCAGCCAACCTGGCCTTGAATATTTCCAGGGATGGGGCAGCCACAGCTTCTCTGGGCTTCCAGTGCCTCACCACTCTCATAGGGAAGAATTTCTACCTAAGATCTAATCTAAACCTGTCTCTGACAGTTTAAAGCCATTCCCCCTTGTTCCACAACTCCTTCTCCAGATCTCTTGGAGCTCCCTTAGGCACTGGAGGAGGCTCTAAGGTTTCTCTCGAGCCTTTTCTTCTCCAGGCTGAACAACTCCAGCTCTCTCTTCCTTTCTTCACAGGAGAGGTGCTCCAGCCCTCTGAGCATCTTCAAGGCCCTCCTCTGGCTCACTCTAACAGACTCATATATTTCACATTTATTAGTGTTTGCTCTTCCAGACGTTTGACAGAAAAAGAGAGGGACCAGAAAAAAATTTGATTCTTGACACTACAAAAAATACAGTGAGCAAGAGCATCACTCTGGCTCACTCAAGGAGCTCTGTATCACAGAGCATCCTACACATGCACTGCCTTCAAGCACGGGCTGCAACTCAGCACAGGCAGCTTCCCACTAGGGGGGGATCCAGGGCTGGATTTGGGTGAGGAATAAGGCCAGCAAGCCAGCAGCTAACTTCAAGTCATAAATACTTAAGGCTCTGATCAAAAGGTTTTGTAGGAGTTACATGATCTCATTTATGCCCAGAAAGATACCTCTGATTCCCAACAGCTTTAATTCTTTCTATGGCCATGTCATCACTAGGGACAAAAGGGGAATGTAACACACCAATAGATTTAGCCAAAACTGGCTTCCAGGCTTTGAGATCAGTTAAAAAAAAAAAAAAAAAAAGGAAAGAAAAGAAAAGAGTAAATAGGTAAATAAAACACATATTCCCTGTCAGAAGGAAAAAGCAGTGGCTGAACACTGAGACATAACACACTGTGAAGAGTTTGGTGCTGGCTCCTACCTAACTACCAGGTGAGTGCAAACAATGAACTCAGGCTTGGAGTTCCACTGGTGGTAGGTGATGTAGTAGTGTGTCTGCAGCCATATCCACTGCTGCCCTTTGGTCAGGAACCGGTAGTAACAGGATTTTCCTTTTCCAAACTGCATCACTGTTTAACAAAAAGAGAAAGCAATTTATAGCAAACAGGGATTTTATGTTGCAAAGGTGATTTAATCAGCATTCAGTCCCACACCCCTCTCCCAGACTGGGGCAGTGCTAAAATGGTTCATGAGCTTTATAAACAAGACAGATGATACATAACCATGTATCATTGTCTGGGGTCATTCCTGCTGACTTTCAGGAGTGCCTTTTGCTATTTTGAGATTTCTCTTATAACTGGTGTAATTATATAACTAGCTACATTCTTATAACTTATGGGCTCCCTGAAATAAGCATAAATAACATTAATTAAACAAATTATTTGCCTTTCATTAGTACATGAGAATGCATTTCAAAGACTGAAGATGTGAAGTAAGAATCCTAATAATGGCACAAAACAACAAGATAGTGGAGTTTCAACTGAGAGCTTTCTTTTAAGAGCTGGCCTACTCCAACCTGGTATGTATTATCAGGCTATGTCCAGAAAAATCTCAGGTGCTGTAATACAGCTGGAAAATAGTGAAGGGAACTACATTAAATAACCACATTAATTTTTCCAGACTGCTGGGAGTGCAAAATGAAACATGCTCACTTAAAGTACCCACAATTAATGAAAAGTAAAATACAAACATGATTTAAACAAACCCATTTCACTCTACAGGAGGCAAGATGTCTGCCCAAAGTGTCAACATGACAAACATGCCATGTTTGCTAGGAACCTAGCAAAACACACTAACCCAAAAGTTTTTTTATTCACCTGCACACCTCTATTTTGTTAAAATATCAGGACTGACTTCTTCAGTGATCCCATTAACAGTGGTGGGCTTTAGATGAAGCACCTAGTAGACATTTTCTGGCTAACATGACATGCTGGGGATCCCTCAGTTCCTAGTCCTGGCAGACATGTCCTGAAGCAACTTCTCTAAATCACTTTGCCAGCACTTTACTTTGTTTCCCTGTGCAGTAAAATGAAAAGATCTTTCCTACAGGTGTGTTGTGAAAATATTCTTCTAATAGGTAAGAGGAATGCCTGGATGACAGAGATGCAGAATATAAATAATCAAATTGATTCTCTGCAGAATGATCTGACCCACTCTCAGTACAGTGTGTGTCTATACCAAACTGCACATGCATTACCAAAAGGCCACTTAAATCTGAACTGTCTTTTAAGCAAACAGCACTAAGGAGTACTGTACTTGAGAGCAGTTAAAATGTTCTGTGAATATTCACTTTTGCTGCATTTGACACTTGTGTGTCCCCCTGTCACAGCCTCCTCTGTGTGCTCAGCCAGGCAAACCCCTGGCACCTGCTGCCCCAGTGCTTTGCTGGGCAGGGCAGAGCAGCCAGCAGGGAACTGCAGCAGGGGATCTTGACATGCAGACAAGTATTTTTCCCCATTCTCTTCTAGGTCCCTCAGCTCCTCATATATGTAAGTGGTAGAGGGTTTGTGGTAGAGATGAGGGTGCTTTGCAGCTTTTCTCCAGTGGGCTGTGGGGCTTCTTGCTGGAGTTTCTTGGTCCCAGCCTCGTGCTGCTCTGCATCTCAGAGCAATTACAGCATCCTGCTTGCTCCTCTCTCTGGGGTGTCCTTGTTTCCTTTGAACAAAACACTTTCCTCTCAAGTGGAGGTAGCAGAGAGACAGACAGTGTCCCCCACAAGAAACCTGTAAGTAATACTTCTTAGCAAAATACCTGATTACCTAGATGCATTTTACAAAGTATTGGTTATGTTTCATTGCAGTGCTTGGCAATGAAAAACCACCACAGGACCCACATAACTCTGGCTCAATATCTCAGTCTGAAATGCACCCAATAAGATAGAAAAATCTGGGTCCTGGGGATAAAGCATCTCACATCTGGTAGGATCTGCACACTGCTAAGAGTAGACCCCACCTGCAGACACCTTCTGCCCTTCCTCACGTCAGCTCCAGCCTCAGCAGGACATGGTTCTTCAGCACTGGGCTGCACTGCCGTGGAAACCAGGTGAGTTCTCCTTCTGCCCTGCCTCTGACAGGCCACACTATTTCTCCTTGCATGAAAATAAATTTCATGGACCTTCTTTGCTGTTCACACATTAGCCTGAACTTGACTCTTCTGCTTCGTTGTTTTCCTTTCAGGTTGACCAAACATGAGCCATCTTCACCCACAGGGAAACTGTGTTCAGTACTTCTGTATGTAAAATAATTCTGAATCTCCAGAAGCATTTTACTAATGAGTAAGTGAGGTTCACAACACCTAATTGCACAGGCAGGCGATCCAAATGATGCTCTCAAAAGGTGTTTTGGTGAGCTGAGCCTCCTGGGTAACTCCAGAGCCCAGGGGAATGGCAAGACCCCCTGAGCTGTGACAAATCAACAAAACTCGCAGGGCAGAGGGGGGACAGTTCTGACTCCCAGTCTTTTAATCTCATTTCACTCTGAGACAGCCTGTGCTCAAACAATGTATCTGCCAATTTAGGAAACCTGCACTAACAGCTCCTGATCTGAGGGAATTCTGCAGATTCCAACCTCCCAGGTAAGTGTCAGCTGTGACAGTCTGTCATGGAAAGGGAGAGCTCCTGCATGTCCCTGAAGAAGAAGCCTTTTGCAATGACAGTAAAAGGTTTTGCACAAATGACAAAGGAGATCAGAGACAGACACATTACAGAGGCAGGGCAACTTACAGTGTTCATGGCACCTAGCAAGAAGCTCCAGGTCATCTGCGTGGTAGTAATCATACCCTGACGTTCCCAGAACCTCAAAGGGTAAATATCCTATAATAGGTGGAGCCCTAGGAAGGAAGCAAAGAGCAGGGAGTGAGCACAAAACTTGACTCTTTGACATCCCGGCAGATAAGCTGTGATACCAGCAACAAACTCCATCGTTCACTTGGCAGGGAAATCTGGAGTGGGCTTTCATATAGGCAGTGATGCATTTTCACATACAAACAAAAAAAGCCGACTGCGAGGGAGAGGTAAAAATTGAGAAAATGAAAAGGTGTGTGTTTACTGTTTCACAGCCTATTCATTATGTGGGTGTAGAGAAAGGCATGTACATATGTGAGTGACTCAATTCATTAAGGATGCTTGTGAGACAGCTTGGGAAATGCTATGGCTGATCCTGCACATAACAACTTGGAGCTAGAGTAAAATTATCCAGTAGGTTGGATGTAAGTGTCATCTGGGTAGTAACTGTGGAAGAGAGAATAAGTGGGAAGCTGCAGTGTGTGCCAGGACCAGCTTGGGAAAAAGTAATTGCTCCCCTGGAAAAGCTTGGGAAACTACAGCCAACAAAACTTTCTGTGCTGGTAGTGCAGATAGCAATAGGCATGGGGCTGATTTAGGGCTGATTGTGCTTTGCTTGGTAGAGAAGGAATTGATGAAGCATTTAGATAGGCACATTGCAATGACTTACCTCACTATTCTGGTATGAATTCTAGATTTTCCTTTTTCTAGGCAAAACATGAGATATTTTTTTTAAAGCAGGTATCCTAACACAGCCTTCACTAGAGCCTGAAAGCTTATGATTATGAAACAGCACTGAAATGTGGGGAGAAAACCGCTGGTTTTGTCTCTGCTCCCTGTATCAGCACATCACTCTCCATCTGCCAGGGCTCAGGTACAACCCTGCCTGCACCAGCTCAAGCATTCAGAGAGGCAGGACCTGTGCTGAGGTGGCTGCAGGATGTGCTGTGTTCACCTGCCAAGTTCAGTTTGTTTCTCAGGAACAGGGCAAAAAGGTAAATAACTCAAAATGGGCAGGCTGAAGGTGATGGTGCCTATCAAACCTGCCCCTCTCCTGGTCAGCTGAGTGCCCTTAAGGAAGAAGGCCATAATGTGGCCAAAACTATGAGGAAAAAGCTATTTCAGTGTATGACACATGGATTTGGACGGATCAGTCCTGAGTTTCTTGGTTATTACTGTGTGAAATTCTCTCTTGGCTGAGCCAGCCAGCTCCGCATTTTTCCTCTTGAGAGACGCAGTGGGCACAGGTTATCCAGCCACAGAGAGCCCAGGCAGGTCTGCAACCTCCCTCCTCCCCACAGCGTGGGCAGTCTGGCACCAGGGAATGGGGGGAGCAGGACAAGCTGCCAAAGAGCAGTCCCAGGAGGAGCAAGGTGTGTCAGAGCTCCTGAGTCCCACACAAGGGTCAGCTGGGAGAGCCAGGCCTCCACCTGACAGCAAACCCCTTGGAACAGAATGTGCTGAACACACCGTGCTCTCTGCCACAATACAGCTTTATTTATTTCAGTAACTTTTCATAGCACTCTGTTCCTTTTCTTCATGTGACCCAGATTTCTGTTAATGATGATAATATGTGTATTTATTAAAGTGTCCTTGCTGTCTCTTTGGCAGAATGCATCACTGTTTCTCCTACTTTTAATGACATGCTTATATTCAAGACAATAGTGTCTTTCAGATGCACATCAGATAAACATTTAAGCTGATCAGGAAAGTATTATGCTTTCCTGAATATCACCAGAGCTCTTCATAAAATAAAGAAACCACAAAATGCTCCTCATCTGTCATTTAGCAGAAGATGCCTTGTGGAGCAATTTACAAGTGTCTTGTTAGCTTAAGTTCCAGTCCTGAGATCTGCAGCTTGCTGTGCAAATGGGAATGCACAGTCTTCAGAGAGTCTTTTGGGTGCAGTCTTTTAATAAATGAAGGGAAAAAAAGAACAGTGCCACAGTGCAGAAGAGAAACAAATCATTATCGAAGCTGGTGGGTTTCTCTTCCTATACACATATTTACATAGAGACAGAATATATTTTTCCTATTTTTCTCATGTTTATCCACATTTATGGAACATTTTTATTGCATCTATCTTTACTCTGATTTGAGTTGTGATCATGACAGCAAAGGTCCTGATTCCAGCTTCTGCTGGGTGCCCTCTGCCCCTGCTGAAGGCACACCTCAGTGTCAGGCAGCCTGTGGTGATGCAAATCAGCAAGAAACAGCAACATTTCCCAGTGTCCTGCAGATTGTACTGGAGAGAGCTTGGGATCAGTGAATAAATCAGACAACTCCCACAATCTCCTGCTCATTCTTGGGTCTGAGCTCACTGCTTGCATCTGTCACAAACTCTGCCTCAGCATCTGCATCATCTTAATTTCCTCTCAGTAGCAACGGCTTCCTCTCTGGGAATATCAGTGGGACTGGAGTGTCTGCAAGCACCCAGCAGAGATTCCTCTCTGAGTCATAACCCACATTCATCAGAAGACTCTTTGACAAGTTTCAAAGTAGCTCCTGCTCACCTTTTTCACAGGAGCTGCTGGGACACAGCCCTGTGGAAAAGCAGCTCGCTTCATCAGTGACGTGAGGGGCTTAGGGCTCTTTTACAAATCTTAACATTAATCAGCTGATTCTAAAAATGTGCTTTATCAGACAGGCCAATTAAAGTCTAACAAAGCCACTCCAGCAAGATCTCATCTGAATTAATAATTATCTGACTGTCCCAAACCACAAATTGTAGGGGTGTTGCAGGGTCAGTTCCTCCATGCTTCAAGGTATGATGTGTGGCACACGCCTTCTGTTCTATATAAATGAGAGCTATTACTCATTTTTATTTGCTCTCCCTCTTTCTTGCTCTAAATGTGGAGATGGTATTTAGATTTTTTCCTCACCAATATTTTTTTTCTTTAGAGCCTTATTTACTAGTCTTCTGTTTTCAGTAATGACTACCTTTGCACAGCTCACAAGAGGAGGGGTAATGAGGAGGGTAGGATTTTGCAATGTGCTTATGCACATATGTCAAATACAGAGAAGTAAGAGAGTGAATAAAACCCTCCAGCTTCTTTTGAAGAAAATTAATCCTAAATTAAGCAGCTTAATAAACTGGTTCCAGTCTTTTTCATTCACCAAGCTGAATTCTACTCCACCATATTGCATTGTCAGAAACTAATCTACAATTAAATGATAAAATCCACTGTTTTTTATCTTGGTTTTAGAAATTCTATAATTTCTCAAGGTGAAAAGCCAAAAGTTTATTGACACAGGAAAATATTTAGAAGGATTCCTGGAAGCTGTACTTGTAGAACAGAGGAGCTAAACCAATATGGGGAATGTATTGGGATCCACACTGCTCACTTTCAATGATTTATTACCTTGTTAGGAGATAAACACTTTTCTAGACATTTTCCATGGTTTCTCACTTGCCTAAAATGTGGAAAATAGTGAAGCATTTAAGGATGCCTAATAGCTAAGTTCAGAGTACTGCTACCTACTAAGTTGCCTGTAATTAGAACTATTCCATTTGGGATCTCAGGCAATAGGTATACAAGGTTTTCTATTTTTAAACTACAGTTTATTTATTCTTCAGTGACTAAACCAAAATCTCTTACCTGTGGTCCAAGAATAAAAACTTCCATTCTAAACTATGCCTCGATGTAAATTCTTCACATGGCTCTTCAACGTTGCAGAGCTCCTGCAAAAGAGCACATACATTCACACATTTAATTCTGTGAAATGACAAAAGGAGCCTGCTATCAAAACCTAGCACGCATCTTGTTTATATAATAAACCATAGCAAAATACAGTGCTTTTAAAGCACTTGACTTATTTTCCTCTAAGGAATGTGTAAGACTTGTTTATGAACTGATGAAAAATGGCTGAATAGTTTACCTTGAGCTGAACTTCAGAGCTAGGATAAATAGCCAGTCTCATCTTGCACTCTCTAGGCAAAATTCCCCAGCTTTTTGCAAATACTGGTACTTGAATATGGATGACAGCTCCAAGTCCAGCCCCTAACTGAGCTGGCTAATGCCCTCTTGAGCAAGCAGCACCTAGGGCTGTTATCAGTGCCATGGGACATTTACAGACCAGCAGCAAGAGGCCATGACACACATTTTCAATGTTTCAAGATGCAGATCCTCACACAAAGGAGTGGTGGATGCACGATTCTGAAGGCTGCAAATGCCCAGGTGGTGTAGCTGGTCACCTTGTCCTGGAGCTTCCCAGGAGACACCCCACCACAAAACCACCTCTTCTCAAAAGCAGCTCCTGCTTCACCCCTTATCTTTCCAAAGTACATCCTTATGCCATCTCCCACTCCCAGCATGTCCCCTCTCCCCTGCTAACGCTGTGCTGCTGGCCCTGCTGCTGGCGGGGTGCCCAGGCAGTGCTGCAGCTCGGCTCACCTTCAGGAACTGCGGCGTGACCAGGCGAACGGTGGCTACCAGGCAGATCTGCTCCTCCGTGGCTGACCTGAAAGCCCGTGCAATAGCTGACTCAAAGCCATTACAGGAGGGTGTAGGCACTAGGAACAACCAGACAATTTATTTAAGAAGAAGAGGAAGGAGAGGTTTCTTCTCTGTTAAGACAGGTAGAGTGACTGAAGAAACCCAGCAGCAAAGTCCTGCTGCCCACAGGGTGATGCCACACTGCTCCATGCCGGTGTCATCTGAAGCACGACCCTGCAGGCTCCACGTTACACAGCTGTAACCTGCCCATGGCTTCGGGGCAGCTTTGTAAGCTTGGAGCAGCTCACAGTGTGCAGCTGCAGTGTCCCTGTCAGTCTTTCTCCAGGCCAACATTTGCAAGATTCAGGATTTTACAGGCACCTCAAAGTACTTAATCTCTGTAAAGTGTTATTTCACTGCCACAAGTGAAACAGAATGCCGTATTTTACTGGCTATTTGAATAAGTAGGCTGCTTTACAATTGGCAGTGGGTCAAACAGATGTATTTTCAGTCTGGTATCAGCTCTAGGCACAACATGCAGGAGAGTGCACTCCTCAGATCAACAGACTCCCCACCATTTTTGCATGAAAAACATAGCCAATGCATGCACAGCTCATTCCATCCCTGACAATTATGGGGCATTTTCAGCAGAAATGGAGCCTTTAAGATGCTACAGATCAAGATAATTTAAAGGAGAGAGGTGGAGAGACAAAGGTAGGCTGGAACAGTAACTTACCATGAGTAAAATATTTAAAATCCACTACAAATTTCACATATTCATACATCAGGGGTTCATTTGGATCTAAGCTGCCTCTTGCTAAATGGCAACAAAACTCTATTTGTTTTTCTGCTGAAATGAAAGAAAGAGAGGGAGACACAGACGATATTATTAGACATCTGCACTTTAGCTCACACACATATTTGATTTATCTACCAAGTGGTATCTGAGCACACCCTGCTGGGAAGCTTCTGATGCCCAGAAGTAAATATATAACTACTAGGAGCAATTATCATCTGTTTCTACTTAAGGAAATGTATTCTCACCCTTTTTGCCTGTCTTTGCACCCACCCCAGTAAGCTGAGTGTGAAGCCCTGGCTGCAGTGGTCAGCAGGATTTTCCATGACTTCATGGATGTAGGATTTCATGCAGAGCAGGTACTGGTATTGCAGTACTCTGCTCTGGCACTGCTCAGTAGGACCAAAGGGCACTGAACTCACCCTAAGCCCTTCCATTAACAGTGGAGGGCACTGTGCCAAACTCTAAACCAGTTTTCTGCCTCAAGTCTGAACTCTATGGATTAGACCACACAGCCTTCAGCCTGAGGAAAACCACCCCCAGGCAGAGCATCATCAGGCTGCTCAGAGCATCATCAGGGTGCTCAGAGCATCATCAGGGTGCTCACAGATCATCAGGCTGCTCAGAGCATCATCAGGGTGCTCAGAGCATCATCAGGGTGCTCACAGATCATCAGGCTGCTCAGAGCATCATCAGGGTGCTTACAGCACCATCAGGGTACTCAGAGCATCATCAGGGTGCTCAGAGCACCATCAGGGTGCTCAGAGCATCATCAGGGTGCTCAGAGCACCATCAGGGATGCTCAGAGCATCATCAGGGTGCTCAGAGCACCATCAGGATGCTCAGCTCCCACTGGTGCTTATGGGGCAGCAGGGAGGGGAGCCCAGTCTGCTCGGTGGCCTTGCCAAACCCACTGAGAAAGGGGTGGGGGCTCAGCACAGGCTGAAACATTAATTAATGAAACACAGGGGTTGCCTGCTCTGGTTCTGGGGACATTTTCAGAGGGGAAGGGACATGGGACAGCAGCCAGCAGTACAGATCCAGACAGACTGCTCAGATAGGAAGGCTTTGCTTAAGTTACATTAGGGCTCCTCTTGTGTCCTGAGATATGCAAGCTTCCTAAAGAATAACAGCTCTGCCAAAACTGTTTGGGATATCTCCAATTTTTTTTCCCTTGAGCCCTCACTTCTTTTTCAGGGCTAGTCTAGCATCTCATCTGAGGAAAAGCATCTACCATCCAAGGGGCAAAACAGATGGTAAAACAAAGACTGTCCTAATCAAAGAGCAACTACTGGGAGCACACAGGAACATTAGAGATGTGATGCACTAAAACCCACAAATACAGCAAAACAGAAGTGGCAGGCAGGAGCCAGCTGGAGAGCTCTGTGCAGACTTCCCTGGGAGCTGTTTACCTTTGGCAAACTTCTCTGACCAACAGACAAGAGCAGAGCTTACCATTTAGAAAATCAGCTGCAACAGGATCTGTCATGAGCACATGTGGAGAAAGTAGCTTGTACACCTCGCTCTGCTCCCCCTCAGGCAGAAAGTTTAATATATTTTGGTCCACCAAATCTGACTGATACAAAAGAATGCTTTGTCATGTTCAGCAGTACAGCCTGACACAACCACATGCCTTTTCACCCCTCAGCAGAGCACAGACACCGCCGGTCTGCTGCGGATGCCTAAGACAAGGAAGCCCAGTCAATCTGCAGATGTATCTAGGGCGGAATGTAACCCTTAGACTATTTTACCCCAGGATCACTATCCATTTGCAAAAGGTTGAATGAGTCCCAGAGGTTGCCCTTCAGTTCAGACAGATACAGGCTGGAGAAGAAACCCTGGTACCACAGGAATATAATGTGATAAGAAGTGAAACATTTTTCTTTAAAAGCACAACACAGAAGAAGGAGAGCTCCTCCCTACATCCTCCATTTGTCCTCTAGGCTGAACATCTGGCAAAATCAGCTTGACCTGCAAGTGATTCAGTGCTCATCAGCCCACGCATCCTGACTAAAGGGGTTCTACCAAAATGTCAGCACAGATTTGTTCTTTGCACACATGACATTCAGGTAACTGCGTGCTTGACTTTTCCCTCATATAGGGCATCCTTGGTGCTTCATGCTTGGCACCAAATAAAGAGAAAAATGTTTTTGAGGGGCCAAGCTGAAATTTCTGCACCTGATAACTAAATAGCTTCTAGAAGTTCTCCCAGAACATTCTGAGGCCACACATTTGTTACTAAAGACTGTGGGCTCAAAGTAGAAAAACCCAATGTCATTCAAAGAGCATAGATTCAGTTCTGAAATAATATTTACATTATCTAAGAAGAGCTCCAGCACTTATTTCACAATCATAAAATTTTCCATTAACCTGGTGGGTCAAACACCTCCCAGACCTTTAGATGGATAGCCAAGTGATAAGCTATGAGTACATTGATTTTGTACAGTTGGGGTTTTTTTCAAGCTAACTCACAGACCCTGGGAGAGAATCTCTTATTCACAGGAACTTGAGAAACTCCACAAGAGTTTCTTGGTTGACCTCCCACCCACAGTCAGCTCCCTCTTTGGTTGGACAAAATCAATCCCCAGCCCTGCATTGACTGATTTACACCAAGGAGGGGAATGAGCCATCAGTGTATTGCATGGTCAGAACTTACCGGTAAGTGTCCTAGCAGAGATGAAACACTATCAGATACATAAATAATAATCCCATCAGTGGTAAGAGCAATGAGAAAGCCATCTAGTGCCTAATGATAAGAGGCAGAAAAAAAAAGAAAAAAAACCAAAAGCAAAACAGAATTATGCAATGGAAAAACTTAAAATATTTTAGACTCATTGCTTCTTTAGTGATGCTTCTAACAGCTTAAACCTAGCACAAATTAATCAAAGAAATGACAGCTCAATGTGGAAAAATAAAAATTACACAGGCTGTCTAATTCAACATTCTTTTTATATTCTTATTTTCTCATTCTCATTGTTATTAAATTGACTTGTATTTTTCACCCAGTGAGTATTTATTTAACATGAAGTGAGACAGTGATGCTTAGAATTTCAACACCCACACAATCCTGCTGACTTCAGTCACTTCATTATGTGCTCTGAATTACACAATAGTTAGCAAACTCAGTGCGTAAGGAGATGTCAGATATCATCATGGCAAATCCAGCTTTGTGGATGGATAAGCAGAGACAGAAAAATTATACAATTATGTATTTTTAGCAGTTTATGGACAATATGAAAAGGATCTAAAGCCTTATTTATCTTGCTTAAAGCACTGATTTGTAAGGTTAGTGACAAAACAATTTTAAGGCTTGTTCTGTTTCCCCTTTCTCATTCACAGTGGTTTCTGTCTCAGAGTTAAACCTCTCTGTCCCTTTTAAGTTACTGCCTGTGCTCTTCCCCTTGGATATTGTGTCCTCCCTATTGTTCACAATATCTCCTTGTACCATTTATGCAGTGTCTGTCCTTATTCTTCCCGAGCATCAAGATCTGGGAGGTTTAATAGCCGATCAGCACTGTGCACAAAGCCAGCTCTTCTAAAGACACTGTTAGGCTGCTCTGCAGCTTTGCTACAGGGAGCCAAAGATGCAGCCTTCACCATCTCCCCACCTCACTGAGAGATCCTGCCTCTGCTCAAATTGAGTCCTCTCTGGAAAAAACCCACTGATTTTAAGCAAATTATTCAGTGGCCTCCCAGAGTCCAGCAAGCCAGCAGTAATTACAGGGCTTGCTCTCCCCCACCACTTCCAATCTAAGGGGGGAATTTGTTTTGATTCAGCTGGAGCAAGCTAGCTTGTTTGGCAGGAGAGATTCCCAGAAAGAATGAACAGACTTTTCCAGAGGTGAGTCATGACATCCTGATGAAAAGGAATAACTAAGACACAGCAGCACCTCCCAGCTCAGCCCAGCATACACCCTGATTTTGGTGGGGCAAAGAGCAGCAGCTGCCCACGCAGGGCAGATGTCCCTGCCAGAGGAGCAGCACAGACCCAGAGCCAGGGGGGAAATGTAGGTTCGGGGGATGTTTCTAGATCAGCAAAGCATTTTAGAGGTGGGAGTATAAGAGCTGTTTTCCTGAATGCACTTAAGGCAATTCAAGCAGAAGAGGCAGCACTCCCATCGAGAGGACAGCAGAGCAGGCAGCAGCTGCAGAGGCAGCACAGGCAGTGCTGCCTGGCTAATGGGATGTGGGAGGCACAGAGCTGCCCTGCTTTTTTCAGGTCCTTTCAAGTTTTTCCTAAAACTGCCAGCTCTAGCAGCTCTTCTGAGAAAAGGAAATTCTCTTTTTCCTCTCTCATCAGGCCAAATCAGTTCTGATTCCCAAACGAAAAGCCATTTATCTTCAAGGGGAAACAACATTATTTTTAATTCTGTGTCTGCAAAGCATTTAGTACAACATTGGGACCTACAGGTGAAGAAGAACTGTATATCCCTGAACTACTCCACTGAACTGATTATCTCTCACTAATCTATTTAATTTCTTCTTACCTCTAACATCAACTGGGTGAACTCCTCGTTGCTAAGAAATGAAGGCTTCCAGTCTTGTCTAATCTGACAGGCTTCTGTCTGTGCTGTGATTTCTTAAAGAGAAAATATCAAAAAAGCAACATGAGTCATGCTACTTGGATATTTTTTTCATTTTCAAGTAACACTAGATTTCTTTAAAGAGGCTGTTAGAGGAATCATGCTCATATCATTCTTCACACAAAGCCTTCTTGCATGCAACAGTGATTTTCCATGCTATCGTGATACAAATGCATTAGAAATCAAGAAAGGGAAATTGAGACATTTGAGGTGGCCTGAAGACAACCTTAAAAAATTAAGATCAATGGGCTAATTTTAGAGTAGTAGAGCATCCCTGTGAGCAAAGGGTGTCTGCAATTCTGGAGCTGTTTCTTTCAATTCTGGAGATGTTTCACAAGCTGCTCTTGTGAGTGCCCAGGCAGCAGGACAGGTTTTAATCTCCTAATCCAAGAGACCTGGGGAGTTGGCATGGAACACTCTCTCCTTTGACTTTTGTAATGGGTGCTGTTCCTCAGCTTTTCTGTTTGGGAGTGCACAAAGCAGGCCAGAGGATGTGGAGGCCAGTGAGGGTAATGATGTATCCACAGCAAAAATCACACAGCACTGCATCTTGTCAAATCTATGTTCAACTAGTCAGCAATGTATATGAATACAGCAATGTACTCAGCCCTAGCCACCTCCTGCCTTATTCTGCCCCTCACTCAGGCTCACGTGCTGCCTGGGTGGCATCTGAGATGCTTGGGAAGAACAGTTTGCATTTTCTGAGTGGCAGCTGGCTGCTGGGCAGCTGCAGGGCCGGCACCCTCCAGTACCTTTCTGTTTCTGTAGGAAGTCGATGGTCCTCTGCAGTATTGTGGACTTGTCCATCTTGAGAGGGTGGCCGTGGCCCTGCAGCATCGTGCAAAGCTCTTTGATGAGGACATTGAACTGGTCTCTCCTCTTCTTCTCGGATTTGTTGCGTGATGCCCTGGGTGACAAAAACATAAATGCCACTATGCAGAATGAAGGACCTACAGCACAAACCAGGGTGAGGTACCTACCCTGCCCCAGCAAAACACTTTAAATACAAGAATCTAAACTCTGCTGGGAATGTGTATTTGTTTAAAATTGGGCTCACACACAAAGAGTTTGCTGTGCTTAGAGCCTTGTAGCAAGACTGAACTCAACAGCAGCAAGAAATACCTGGAGGTAACACATATTTGGGTTCATTTGGGAAAGATCATGTCCTGATATACATTTCATATATTTCATTTCTCACTGTTTCAAAAGCAGTGATAGTGAAGATGTTGTGTGACAAATTCCTCCAGTAAGAGAGAATTATGTTCATGCATATTCATGTTTTGTTCACTTAATTTTTATCACTTAATTTTTATGAACTTTTGTTTTGCAGTTAGTACACACACACATAAAGGTCAAAATGTGAAGGATTTCTTTGATTTGCACTTGCAAAAGGAGCTTATCAAGAGACAGCACTGTGCAGAGGCAACTGAACTGAAGAATAAAATCTTCTATGTGGTCTTGAAAATTTACTGCTGTGATGTATGAAATTGGGAACGTTACAGGTCTGGCTGCAGAACTACAACTAGTTTTCAGTTCACAAATCAAGAATATTTATTAGGTTTTTCCCCTCAATTAAAAACAATAAAGGAGAAAGCATATCCATTTAGTTCCTTCCAAAGTGTTCTTTCCAGCGCTCATATCTGAGATAACACTTTTCATACAACCTCTTCCAGTAGTAATTAATTTGCTTTACAAGTGAATTCATGATGATACATACTTCCTGTGATCCAGACTGAGGGTTGTGTGCAGAAAGCATTTCCATTCATATTCAGGTTGGCATTTGGATGTTCTCAGATCCACAGATCCACGTTCACAGCCATCTCTGTTTTGGCACTGGTGTCCAATGCCTAAACAGAGCTGAGCCAAGTGCTTCTCTGACAGGAGACTAACTCAGTGTTAAAGCAGGACTGCTAAGGGAACTCTACCCCAGGAGGGCAGTGCTGCTTGATGCCAATAAAATCACAGGTCAGTAATTCTGTTTCAAGATAATAAACGGCCATGGGAGAGCACGAGATGCTGAGGGCACAGCAGTGTAATTTAAGGACCACTCAGCCAGATAACCCATGGGGTTAGGGGTGGCCAAACCTTGTGAGAAGCCTGAAGGGTGACAAATTGTGCTGCTTTTGGTCAGCTATACACAGCCTGTAAACTGTGTGGGAGCTTTGCCTCTGACACCAGCAGGGTCGAGTTCATTGTCAAGCACTGGACAACACAGCTCTCCTCCAGGAGTGCACGCTGTCGTACCTCTTTGCCCTGTCCTTCTCATCTTCATCCATCAGTTCGTTTACACAACACAGGGCTCTGCAAGGAAAAGACAGAAGCACTTACTGACAAAAATTGCCTGTCTTGATCAGAATGTCAAAACATGGAGCATAGTGGTTTGTACTTAAAGACCTCCTGGATGCTTCAATCTTCCCTTTCTCAAATTCCACTCTTGGTATGTCTTTCCTTGCTTGTCCAGTCAGCTACTGAGGCATGAGAAGTGACACTGCTGCTACATGTCCAAACATCCACTTACAAGGACTTTAAAGGGAAAGATCTAAAAGCCAGCAGCCCCTCAGCCTGCCTGTGTCCTGCCCTCTGAGCCAGGGTAGGGAATCCTGCTGAAGCACCCATCTCTGCACAGGAATCAGCATCTTCCTGGCAAATGCAAGAGCAAAAAAGAGAGAAATCTGACCTGGTGTCTGCAGCAGGCAGCACCACAGCTGGTCCTGTTCTGGGCAATCCCATAGGTTACTGGTTGATTTCCATCACTGCCCACCCTGCTTGAAACATACCTGAGATTTCTTTTCCAGTGGAAAGATATAGGAGAAAGAAACTGTGCTAATCCCCTAAAGGATTTGTGTTAGTCAACAGCAGTGTATTATCAGGATATCTCAGAGATGATATGATAGACAGGTTCATCCAGAGCATCCTGCAGCCAATGACTGCTGCTTGCACTGGTGGACTTCTCCCACATCATCTGAGCTGTGTCCTGGGATTCATACCCAAGGCTTCCATTTAAAATATCCCCACCTGGGAAGGAGAATAGTTGGCAACAACTCCCAGTAAGGACACAGTACTCTCAAGCCTATTAAATAATGGAAAATTCAACACAAGCGTAACTTCTTCACTGGTGACTTGCTTTCAGTGACTCAGTGGGCTGAGTCTGAGGGACAGAGAGCCAGGGAGGTGCAGGTGAGGCAGCTGCTGTCACTCCACACCACATTGCCCAGTTCAGCCCTGCTGGATTGCACCCCTTCAGACACCTCCAAAGAGGCAATCCCACCATCCCATCCCACCATCAGATCTGATCTGCCCCCCATCTCCACTGAGCACTTTCCCTGAAAACACCCCATGCTGCCCTGAACTCAAGGGGCATTTTTCAGTAGGTACATACAAAAGATTTCCTCTGTTTAGAGACTACTCCAAGCTCAAACAAGTTGGCAGCTATAAAAATAACACAAAACAGAACCACCCACAACTGTCAGGAAGTCAAGGATGCTGCTCACAGCAACAGCTACAAAATTTTATCCTTCCTTCCGTGCTCCAGGGCAGGGATCTCCCTCCCTGCAGATGACCTGGGCAGAAGATACTGTATGAATTCTTCTGTTATGAATGCACTCCACAGAGAGGGAGTGGTTCTCACTGCCTGAGTCACCAAAAGCTACAAGCCAAATTAGAAATTACCTGTTCTATTCCTCAGATTCATCAGTCCAGACTGACAGAGTGGGATTAGCACTTCTTATCACCATGTAAATAGAGACGGAGAAAAATTAATCCTGGAAGGAAAAGCAAGTCCAGTTAAAACACAGTTGCAGGTAAGACAGCCCAGACAGCTGCAATCACTTCAAGCTGAGAAAAGACTACCACCACAAATTAGATGCTCAAGTATGACTAATGAAAGCTCAGCAAAGCAATGGGAGTTGGACCAAGTTCTTGGGCTCCTGGCTCTGTGGGCACCACCTACTGCCACAGAAGCCACCTGGGAAGGCCAATGTGACCTCTCAAGTCAAGTCCAAAAAGCTCTGTGACCCAGCAGGGTGGGAGAATGGCCCTCCTGCCTTGGGGCCACTGAGGAGCAACTGGAGTTCCTCCAAAATGTGACAGTTCACCTGGTGTGCTGTAAGAACCAGAAGTATGACCTGTACCCCACCTATCAAATCTTGCAACCAAAACCTCCTTCAAGACAAACATGATCAGCAAAGTCAGCACAAGCCACAACCACCCACCTGTGAATGGGCTCAAGGCCTCCCCTTGATACTTGCTACTGACAGGACACACAAAATCTATGGAAAATATCATGTAACTCCTGACACCCCAGTGAAGCTGCAACTGGAAACAACACTGCATAGCAAACTTAAACTCTGCTGTGTCTCTGTTCTCACAGCAGTGCTACCCCAGTCATGCTTTACTCCACTTCAAAGGGAGCATGTGATCTCATTTGTTACCCTATTCAGCTGAGGCTCTTATCCCTGCCGCTCATCCCTCAGTGCTGTTTTATCAAAATCACTCAGTTGTTTCTTCTCTAGAAGAATATTCCCTACAGAAGACTTGGTGACTGTGGATAAGTTCAGAGATACACAGGTATAAAGAAAAGTATTTTTAAAGCAATGGGTTAAATTATGAAAAAATGCTTGTGGATACACACAAAGATCTATAAAAAAATTTTCAGGGAATGTTCTTTGTGCGCAGACTTGACCATGCAAAAATTCAGCTAAAGAAAAGGATTTTCCCCAGGATTGGAGCACAAAGCATTATTTTGTAGAAACTGTATTTTATGGAAAATTTGCGCATAGGTTGTCTAACAGCTGGAAGCTCCCGGGAAGCCTGGTGGGTTTTCTGCCTCATTAGAATGGTTGGCCTCCCACCCAGCTGGAACAGCAGCAAGTTGAGGGTCACCAAGAGTGTCAACAGTACAGCTAATGCCCACTGAGCCCCAGCTGGGAAACGAAGCCTGGGTTCTCCAGTCTCCAGGAGGAGCCATCACTCTGCTGCAGTCCCCCAGATGTGGGCTGCCAGGGACAGAGGAATGAGGCTTCCTAATGCATGTGAGCAATGCCCTCAGCCAACACCAGACTTGGAGGAGCTCACAGAATCAATGGCCACAAAAGAATTCACAGGCCCAAGCACACAGAGCAGCTTTTTGCATGATGCAGCAGGACGGTGAGCAAGAAAAAGTCTTAGCAGAAGACACCTAAGGACAAAATAATCTTAACTGGATTAAGCACTTCAGGACTGCATTTAGCTAAGTGCTTTTTGTCTTGTTATAAGACAGAGCTAAATATGGTAACCAGAATACTTAAGAATAGTTTCATAAGGGTTGTATACATTCCTCAGCCAGCTAAGACACTTAGCACTACTGACAGCAGTATGTCTGCAGGTTAAGAGTATTTTAAATAGACCCAGATAGAATCTCTTTGACCTTAACTGCATTAACCAGAGGGATCAAAATTTATTTATTGCCTCCTGAAAATCCCCTTCTGTAACACTTTTGAGAGAGGGATTCCTGAACTCTGTGGGCAGGTAGAGAGGAAACTTGTCAGTGCTGCTGGCATTGTTTCTCACCCCACCTGCAACAGGTGAGGATCAGCTTTCTCACAAAGCAATGCACATCCATCACTGCTTAATGCCCCCTGTAAAGGGAAATTATTTTTTCCTTCCTTTGTACAGGGAGTCTCAAAAACCACTCAGAGTGTTTTAAGGGTACATTATATTTCAGACTTTTCAAATATCACAGCATTTGAAGTTGTTTCCAGGGTTACAGAAAGGGTAATGTAGCCAAATGACAGCCTTAACAAGACAAATGGACTTTGCAGTCAACAACTAATAGTTAAAGCATTACTCTATGCTATCTGCTATATTCTGGCACATTTTTTACTAAAGAGAGAATGGCAGAGGGAATTTTCTGTTTTGTAGAACTATCTGACTCCAGGAGCTATCTAAAATTGCAAACCCGTGAGTAAAGAATAGGTTTATTTATTGACTTGCTGCAAACCATCAAAATATTAACATTACCTTGGGATAATTCTTAATGGAATAGTCAGACTTGTGCTCTGAAACTAGCAGTTCCTATGAACATCTCATTATAGGCTAAATTTTAGTTATTTGGTTATGTCACTTATGGCAAGGCAAAGATATTTCTATGAGAGATGCTGCCCATTTCTTTGTGATCAGCAATGAATAAAGCTTTCATCCATCACCTAAAAGTGTCCCTGAACCCAGATTATTTGATTGCTTTTCCCAGCTATAACAACTGGTCTAATGAAAAACATTCTCTATGCACAGAAGCTTTGTTCTGCTTCTATTTGAGTTTTCATAGAATTTTGTATTAAGGTAACATACAGCAGTTAGGGAGTCTTCAAATCTATACCATAGGAAAAACTAATTACGGAAATGTGCTATACTAATAATTTTCACAGACTTTGCATGCAATGAATTCATCAGAGAGCGCTGAATTACAAGATGCAGCACTTTGTGGCACGATGCAGTCACAAATCAGAGAGATAATGCATTCCCCAGCAATCTGATTTACATGTCAGTATGCCAACGTTTCATTATTCTTGAAGCAACAGGAGGGCACGACTGTGGTTGGCAGCAAAACAGCTGATTTCATTTTTAAAAGACAGAATTTAACCTCCTCAGTAAAGTGCTGGCTCAACCATAAGATGCTTATGTAGATGGCTTTTGAAAAGCCAAATAGTGTGGCTGAGTCCCTATGGTGGCTTAGCACAGGAAGGATCAGCACCCCTGCTGATGCCCAGCAGCCCTGAAGTCCTGGCCCTGCTGCCAGCGCTGTGCCACCCTCCCCGTGCTCCCAGCCATCCTCCTGTCACACACAGGCAGATGTTACAGATGTTTGTCCCAGTGTCACAGCGCGTGGGCGAGAGCGGCAGCGGCACAGCTGTGGCACTGCCATCTGCCAGAGCACCCACAGGGCACAGCTCACCACTGCTGTGCCACAGCCCAGCAAGAAGGCACCACACAGAAACACAGAGACTGAACCAGGCGTGGCAGAGGAGTTGCATATCTGTGTTATTTTATCTGCTTGCTTAAATTTTCCTGCCTCTACTTCACCCTCTCCTTTCCTTGGCAAATGCCTTGTTCTTCTCTTCTCTGCCCTTCCCTCACTTGTCCCCTGTACTTAACATCCACTGGATCACAATTCAGAGAATTGGATCTCTTTTGAATATGGTTTCTTTCCATCTTGATGTTTCTTATACCACCTGCCTTCATCTTTCCATTGCTTTTCCTTCTCCATGTTCCTCACTTTCTTCTTCTCAAAAGAGAAAAAATGTACAATAATCTCAGTTTTGACAATCACTGGGGGATTGTCAAAGCCATTTCACTGGGGGACCCTGGAACCTCAGAACCAGGTTTGAGGCACACATGCCTGACAGGTCCTTTTTAGGGACACTGCCTGAGGAATCAAGCTGCTGGGGATCTGCTGGGCTTTGGCTCCAAGGATTCCTACGCCCAGCTCCAGCAGCACTGGCTCCTGCCCTGCCTGACCCTAAGCTCCCAATCCCAGCTTCAGACCCTCTCTGGAGGAACTGGGATCTCCCTCAGGCCAGTGGCAGAGCTGTGCAGCTCCAAGCTTTCCACAAACACCACCGTACACCCCAGAGTGGCTGGGGAAGTGCCCCAGCACAGCCCAGCCCTGCACAGCAGCAGCACAGCCTGCAGCTCTGGGGCTGCCCTGACTGCACCTGTATCCTCACAGCATCTTTGTCTGCTGGAACAAAGTGGGTGATGCTGGTCACTGGGGCAGGGTGTCACTGTAAGACATGAAATGACGCAGATACACTGTTGTTTTTAAGGTAAAAAAGAGGGAAGTTTATTTTTTGACTCTATAGGTTCTTAAAAGTGACAGTGGATTGGAGGGTGAAAGTGCCACCTCTCCAATGACACTGGACAAACTAACAGTTTATTAAATTTCCCTTCTTTTATAAAACAAATGTAAAACAATAAGTTATTTACATAAAGTGTGTGAGAAAGTGTGTTATAAGAATGTAAACATTAAAAAGTTTAATAAATCTTAAAAAAATCATGGTAACAGGAGGGACCAAATGTTCTGTGCTTCCCCTGTGCTAACCTGCCAGAAGTGGACTTTTTGTGCTACCGTTGTAACTGCTGCATCCCAATGCACTCACTTATCTGTAGCATACCCTCCCCTGGTTTATGGAGCTCTAAATTTAGCTTGTTACCTGTGACAGATTTATGACTACATTCACTACAGCAGTAACAGCTTCATTCAAAAGCTAAAAAGTGTCCAAAGAAAATGGATTATACAAAACAATTACACCATAAAAAAGGCTGTAATGGAACACTGTGATTCAGCACAAAAGTGAAATGAAAGATACAGGCAGGAACAATGGTGGTGTGTTGGTTTTTTGGTTTTTTTTTTTTTGTTTGTTTGTTTGGGTTTTTTTCTGGTTGTTGTTTTTGGTTTTTTATTTTGTTTTGGTTTTGGTTTTTAACCAATATATGGTGCTTCTGCAAAACGAAAGGCAGAAAAGGATTAAAAACTAACAGCTACTTGAAAAGAAAATATGATTACTGTAACATTTTGTTCTCTAGGATTTTTGTCAGATCCTGGAGAAAATAGCTGTCCAAGTTTGCTCTATTCTAGCAAATTGCTGAACCTTGCAGGGTAAAGATACAACATTGTAGAATATTATTCAAAATGTCTCTGGGGTTTCTGTAACAAGAAGAACATGCATCTAATTAATTCTACCAATTTGTCTAATGGCCCCTTAAAATTCCCAAAACATGGCAAAAA